AAAAAAAATCAAGATTAATTGATTAGTATGCAATTTAAAGAATATTTTTAGCGTTCAATATATATATATATATATATTAACATGATTGAATTTTTGGATTAGAATATATATATTTAAAATGATTTTATTATTAAAAGTCAAAAAGAAAAGATGCCATAAAGATTACAACTTTGAAAAGTTTCTAAACATTAATTTAACTTTGAAAAGTATGTAAACATTAATTTAGGAACCATCCGATTTTAAATGATTTTATAATTTTTGAAAGCATCTAAAACTCATTAATTTAGGAACCATCCAATTTTTTGATAATGAATTAAAATTAAAATGTAAAATACAGAAATTGCTGAGAATAGTATATAATAAATGTGGTTTGACTTTTTTTACTACTATTTATGGTAAATGTTAATTCTTATTATATATTTATAGATAATAACATATAGTTGTAGCAATACTAAGCTTCACATAAGTATAATTTTTCTTAAAAGTTTTGATTATATATATATTTTTATGTTTTTCTTACTTTATTTTTTCTTTTACTTTATAAAATGATATGAAAAATTAGAAAAAAAAAAATCCAAAATTATTTATATTTTATGAGGATTAATTTACACCACTAGATTTTACAAATATAGCCTAACTAAACTTTTATTCATTTATATTTTCCTAATTGTTTAAGGTTGGTTTAAAATGAAGTTTTCAAAAAGATTAAAGATACATAAAAGTTAATTATTAAAAAAATAAAAAGGGGCACAGTAGGAATAACCTGAGATAGCCAGTGGAGACTAGATGAAGAGTGAACAAAATGAAGACTCCTCTTCGGGAAAAGTCTCCGGTAGAAAGAGCCCGCGACACCACAGACAAAGCAGCGGTCAAACCCTACAACCTTTTCGTCTTTAAAGCTGCCGTAAAAATCGTCCAACGACAAAAACAGGCTGTTGAAATCGTTGCCCGGAAGGTCGTTCAGCGATATCCTAAGCTCCGGCAGTTTGGAGCCCATCTGCAAACTCGCCAAGTGGGCCGCGTTTATGATCTTCTTCACAACCATTAAAGTGTTTGGGCCAGACGAGCAGCCCAAGTCCGCTATCCCCATGCTTTCTGGTGTGGTCCGCCGCAGGGAATCCGCCACCAATTCCTCCATTACTGAGCTACTGAATTCTATTATTTCTTTCTGGAAAAATCAAGAGTTTTATTTTATTTTATTTTATTTTATTTTTGTCGAATTGTTAATTATTTAAATTGGTGAATATATACTAATTAAATTGGGAGTTGTATATAGGTGTACGGACCTGTACTGTGGAATTTCTGGCATAACTGTTTTCACCTTCTCCTTTGTTCATGTGCAGATTTTTTACTATCCCCATATTGTGTGTTTGTTTGGTGTGAGAGAGAGAGAGGCTGAGAGACTATAAGGAGGAGTCGAGATTGTTGCGAGAAATTCCTCAGTGTAAGGCCGCCATTAATAGTGGAGCAATCCTTTAAATTTTGGAATTTTCCGGTCCACATAATTTATTTTATCAGTTGATTTTTTGAAAAATGGCTCAACTATCCATTCCAAACGTAAAGAATAAAATTTATCATTTCGGCATTTGGCCATAGTCAATAAGTATAAGTTTTGGGCATGGACTGTAAACCGGTTCAACCGGTTTTACCGACTATTTTATCAATTTTAATAAATATTAAATTATTTTTTTATTATAATATAATAATGTGTAGAACTAACTATAATAAGCAGGAAAATGAACTAAAATCTAGGTAAATGTTACGGAACCATTCCGTCGGGTTTTGTAACCGTTAAAAGATCATGTAACCATCGGAAATAGTTGATCCAACGGTTACAAACCCCGACGAAATTGTTCTGTAACGGGACCGTAGCATCTCCCCTAAAATCTATAACAATGTAAATATATATAAATAAATTAATAAAAATAGGTTATAAAAAATATATATTTATTTAAAATCCGGTATACTCGGTATTTTAAATCGTATTTGGGCCTGTGTTGTCCGGTAAAAGACTAATATCGTTATTTTTCAGTATGAAACCGCTATAAACGGGTATGTTGGTTAATACGGTATTACAGGGTATTCATAACGACTGGACCACCAATATCTGGCATTATCGGTAATACCATCCGTTATGATACGGTATTTAAAACATTAATATTAGTTTAGAAAAAAAAAAACTTATTGATATAAATAAAACTAAAAATGAGATGAAAGGTTACAAATAAAAGAAATTTTGCATATAAATAAAGAAGAAAAAAACGAAAAAACTTAAATTTGAGAATAAGAAAAAAGATCTAAGAAGAAACTTAATGATGTATTTTTATCTATTTTTTACTTTTTATTTATATTTGAACATTTTTTATTTATTTTTCTTGAACGGCCCAATTCTGTTAGACTCGTGGCTTTATCCACGCGTGGTTCTTATCTTAATAATATTCATTTTTATCTATTAGTCTTCCTTATTAGACGATCTGATCGTACGACTGACCTAATTCACCTCGAGTTAGAGTGCTTTCTGTGTTGAGCTCGTATGTTCTGCTCTCTTGGTCGAGCCATCCACCCATCATGCCTTCAAGTCAATTTTCAACCACCCAGTTATTCGAGGGCCCTAACTCGACCTGTCGGTGCTTCTTTGGTCGTGCGACGTCCTCATCGACCTGAGGACTCTTCTCCCTGTAGCCCATTCGATCTCCGTTTGACATGTCTGTAGCTCTGTTCAACCAACTGATTTACCCGGCCCGGTTGGCTGGTTTATCGGGTCTATACGTCCCGATATGGTATCCCGTATCATCCGGTACCCCCCCCCCAACTTTGATCTAGTTATGATAACTCGATCTAAGAGTAGATTTCTGCTTTTGATCCTGGTTGGTGAGTTGCAACTTCCATGACTCGACCATGCTACTCAAACTTCCATCCATTCCGCAGTAGTGTTTTTCACCCTCGCCTGAGGTCTTGAATTCAAATTTTGAAATTCAAATCTCTGCCCCTAGTCAGATCAATCAGTCCAAATGTCCTGTCGATATAACCGTCTCGTAGTCTGTATTGTTCTCGTGCAACGTACATATTTAATGTTATCTTAATGGCGACCCTTCGATCTAACTTCCATCCTACGGTTGAAAACGCGTTGCTCTTTCAACTTACCCAGCTTTAATCCTGACTCTTGTTGCAGCAAATTATATTTATACTGAGTACGGAATGACTCCAGTCCTCGGGTCGATCTTTCGAGAAAGGGGGTTCAGAATCTAGAATCAATGTTGTTCGCACACAAATGAAAAATAAAAACTTAAAAACTCTAATTCAGGAAGAAGGTTTTAACTATCAAATATTAAAAATCAACTAAATAACACGAATTAAACACTAATAAAGAAGTTAGGAATTTGGGGATAATTTATTCTGGTTTTAAACGCAAAATTGGACAAATAATTGTTCGGTTCTAGATTGACACTCTCGCTTAATTACCTAGTGGTTCACTCCCAATAACTTTTCGTAACAAGGGAATGAACATAGATGACGAAGTTCAAGCATACACACCGGCCTGTGGTCCGATCCCAATAACTCTCGTAACAAGGGAACAGGCGTAGACAAGCATTTATTTCAATCCAAAAACCAATAGACCATTCTTTTGTGAAATCCTCTATCTCATGTGAGCCTAGTTCTACGACTTTTCCCTTTCAGTTCTAAAAGTAGTTTAATTAAATTAGAAGATGATTAATCGACTAATCACTTAGAATCAAAAACCCTAACTCGAAAGAACAATATTAATTGGTACTAATTGCAAGATTGAAGTGTCACTCTTCAATTATATTCAATTTCCAAGCATGAAGTCATGAATCCAATTCAAAAGAGAATTAACAATTCGAGGCCCGATAAATATGAACGAACATGAACAATTATACCTTATCTCTAATAAACGGATTTATCTATTTATATTGAATTCAATACACATAATCACATTAATCCAAGCCATCATATTCATAATTTAAATGAAAAGAACTACTTACTATTAATACGAAATCAAGAGACGAATCCGAACTACAAGCTTAATCCGAAAACAAATCTTGGAGTGTCACTCTCCAAGATCAAGCCAAGGTGAAGATTCAATGTTTTTGGGCTGAAAAACTGATAAAGTGTGCTCTGGAGGTGTTTTTCTAGGGTTGGGAACGAGTCCCACTGAAAAGTGTCTAAGAAAACGAGAAAAATCGAGCCTTTATAAAGTCTGTCCACGAAGGGCATCGCGACGCGAGGCCCGTCTTTCTGTGATGGGTCGACCTGGGCAGGCGCTCTACTGTGGTCGTGTGCGAGCGAGTTGTGTCACACTGTGAGGCATCTCGTGCGTCGTGCCGCAAGGGTCTAGTGATGAAGATGTGGTCATCGACCCTTCCGAGCCCGAGGACGAGATGCACTCGAGCCATGAAAAATGACGCATAAGTGGACGGAACGACCGTCGGGACTGTGGGAAAGGGGCTCGCATCAACAGTAATGACCGCGCACGTGGAGATCGCGCAATGCGTAGGCCGACGATATGGGTGGGCCGCATGACGAGGTGTAAGGGAACGGGTTGCGTGAGGCGGGATCGCGCGAAGAAAGGCACGCGCGAGAAGATGCAATAGGTTGACGACGAGTACATGGCGAGAGGTTCAAGCTGCTCACAAAGGACGACCAACAGATGGATCGACCATGCAAAGGTCGGTTGGGACGTGAGGCGTGATCTGCGAACCAGTGAACGGATAGAGGCTAGCGTGCCGTTCACTCGCGGGCAGGACGATGCGCGATGAGGCGAGCACGCGTCGGGTACGAGGGACGACGCGTGAAGAGCGAAGGACGCGGAAACGCGAGAAGCCTCGGAGGACGAGGAATAACGCGCCGTCTAGGGCAAGTCTGAAGGGTGTGCGACGCAAGAAAGACCACGATCCATCTAGAAGGTTGAGGGCCGATTTCCTTAGCATATTAGAACTTTTAGTTTGGTTAGGAATTTGAATAAAGGCATGTGCCTAATTAATTGTTTGGTAAGGTTTTGATTCTAGATATTTAGTTACCTTAGGAGTTTATTTTATTTCCATGAGTTTAGAATTCTAGTTCTTATAGGATTAGACTTAGTTAGCCTCTGTAAATAATTGTCATTCCATTCGATTTAAGATATGTGGAAGTAATAAGAAAAATCGTTCGCAACAGCAAAATCTCGTATGTTTAGACAAGGCCGATATTGCGTGTTTATCATACAACCGTGTTCGAAAGAAAGCCTAGAGCGCCTTTCGTCACAATTTATCGTGTCTAAGTGAAGGCCGTTAGCTCGCGTTTATTCACAAACTGGGTCAAGATACACGATTATTCATCATTGGTGCTTTCATTGAAAGGTGTTGATCGTGTGTCTTATTTATCTTTCTTTCTCATTTTTATTTTATTTTGAATTTTTCTTTTCGTAGGGTTTAGTCGAGTAAAAAAAAAAATTCTAGCATGACGAATCGTGAGAGGTTGGACGCATTGGAGGAGAGCCTAAGGTCCATCGGCAACGGACAACACGCCGCCAATGAGAACTTCGCGAAACTCGAGCTAATGGTGCACGACCTTGCCGCACAGCTCACGCGGGTCACGCGGCGACCGCGAAGAGGCAGTAGGTCGAGGTCGGCAACGGAAAGATCAAGCAGTCCCGATTCTGGCCGGGAGGGCAATGATCGACGGTCGAGGGGTTCAAGGGCGACCAGTCGACGTGAAGATCAGAGGTTCGAGAGGCCAAAACTAAAGCTGCCTACGTTTACGGGGACCAACCCGTACGCGTGGTTAAGTCGAGCCTTGCAATACTTCGACATCAACGACGTGTCTAAGGCCGAGAGGGTTAGACTCGCCGCCTACTACTTATACGAAGAAGCGAATATATGGTGGAAATGGATCATTCACGTTTATAGGAACAAGGATGAGCACATACGTTGGAGGGAATTTGAAAAAAAGCTCATAACACGCTTTGGGTCGAGCGATTACTACGACTATGATGAGGCCTTGTCTCGTATACGTCAAAGCTGTAATCTCCGAGAATACCAAAAAGAGTTTGAGCGCATTCATTGGAGGACTTAAGCCCGAGCTTGCTGCCGAGGTCCGACTCGATAGGCCACGGTCGATGCGAGCGGCGATGGAATCTGCCCGCATGCACGAGGACCACCTGGTTGCGGTCTTCAAGACAAACCGCGGAGACGGGCGCACAGAGCCACGCCGCACGAACACGTTCAATGAACCATCACCACAAGCCGAGGACGAGAAAGCTGCAGAGGTGACACGGACGCCGAGTTACATGCGACGACTTAATCCTGAGAAGATGCAAAGGTGACGAGAGAAAGGGTTGTGTTTCACGTGCAATGAATCGTTCATACTCGGGCACCGGTGTAAGCGAAAGCAGGTCTATCTCCTCGAGTCATTCGATCCCGACGAAGAGAACGAACAAGGGGTGCACTTATACAGGAACCCACGCGAGGAATCGATGCACATGATGAGGGGTAAGCGAGGACCTAGGATGATACGATTTTCTGCGAAGATATTGGGACGGGAGGT